TACCTTGGCTTGCAGATCACTCGGGACAGAGCACGTCGCACCATTACCCTGACTCAGTCACACATGGTGCAGCAGGTCCTTCAGCGCTTCGGCTTCACGTACTCCTCGCCTCAGGCCACTCCTCTGCCTACTCGCCACTCACTCTCAGCTCTGCCTTCGGATGAGTCCGTAGAGTCGAGTGGTCCGTATGCAGAGCTTGTTGGCTGCCTCATGTACCTGATGACCTGCACACGACCTGACCTTGCATACCCTCTGAGCATTCTTGCACGCTATGTTGCTCCTGGGAGACACAGACCGGAGCACATGGCTGCAGCGAAGAGGGTATTGCGCTACCTGTGCAGTACGTCGGGCATGGGGCTAGTGCTTGGAGGGCGGAGTCCAGTGGTCCTTACCGGCCACGCGGACGCTTCTTGGGCTGACGACCAGGCTACGCAGCGGTCGTCACAGGGTTACACCTTCAGCCTTGGTTCCGGTTCTGTCTCGTGGCGGTCTACTCGCTCGTCTTCAGTTCTCGGCTCCAGTTGTGAGGCTGAGATCTACGCCGGGGCCATGGCTGCACAGGAGCTTCGCTGGCTCACCTACCTGCTGACCGACCTTGGAGAGCCGCCTCGTTCTCCTCCAGTGCCGTACGTAGACAACAAGGCCATGCTGGCCTTGTGTCGAGAGCAGCGCTTGGAGCACAGAACGAAGCACATTGCTCTCCGCTACTTCCTTGCTCGTGAGCTGCAGCAGCGTGGTCAGTTGCGACTTGCTTACGTGGCCTCTGAGGCCAACACTGCTGATGTGTTCACCAAGGCACTTGCGCCTTGTGACCATCAGCGCTTTTGTACCCAGCTGGGTCTTGTACCTGTCTTGCCTCACTTGCTCTCTTCTTGACTTTACTTGTACTTTGTTATATATATGTCTGTACTCCTGCATGTGAACTGGCCTCTGGCCCTGCTCTTGTGCTCGGACTGTGTGGTGACTTTGTGATCCACCCTGAGCTTGCTTTGCTTTGCTTTGCTTGACTGGTCTTGTGACCCCTTGTTCTCCCCACTTTGCCTATGGGGGTGTGTCAGATTATTATGGCTGATGCATGTTTGTAGGCTATAGTGGGGTAGCACATATGGGGTACAGTTTGCTAGGGTTGTATTTGTACCCAACTCTGACTTAGTCAATTCATTCCTGTTCTGTTAGTTTCACAGGTGCCGCGGGGAAGGCTGGCGGAGGACCTCGGTATCGCGGATGCGCATCAGTGGAATGACGAGCAGAGAGACAGTCGGCCTTTAGGAAAACGTAGCTTATAACGGGACGGGCAATAACGAGTACGGGGACGGGCAGGACATTGTAACGCGGGGAAGAAGCATTTTGGTGATAAGGGAGGGGACATGGCCAGCTGCAGTTGCAGCTGCATAAGCATTACTGCCGGGGGCGTGCATCCCGATGTTGGTGCTCTTTTGCATCCACTGCTCCTCCAGCTCAACCCTCCACCTGCCCCTATCTCCTCCCTGCCCCTATCCCCTCCCTGCCCCTATCCCCTGCTTTTTCTCCTCACCTGACACTTTTTCTTGTCCTTTCCTCATGTCGCTTCCCCCTTTCCCTCCCCTTACCCCCCCTACCTTTCGCCCGTTCTCTTTTGCCCCTACCTTTTGCCCCTTCCCTCTGCCCCTCCCACTCTGCCTCGCCCTGCTGTCCCTCCCACATGCCACTTCTCATTTCCCCGTCCCCTTGTCCCCCCCTTACCCACCGTTCGCCCCTTCCCATTGCACCTTCCCTTTGCCCATTTCCCCTTCCCCCGCCTCCCAGTGCCTCAACATGCGCCCCTCCCCCTGCTCCTTCCCCCTGCCCCTCCCTTGCTTCTTCCCCTGACCCTTACCCCGTTGCCCCGTACCCCTGCCCCTCAACCTGCGCCCCTGCGCTTTACTCCTCCCCCCTGGTACCTCGTGTGCTGCCTCTGAGCCCTCTATCCACGTTAGGAGCGTCCAACTTTACAGGTCGACTTCCTCCATCCATATGCGCAACTCGTTACCACGCCATTCTTCGTGTCACGCTAACGTGGGGAGGTGAGAGCAGCGGGAGAGGGGGGGGGCAGGGGGGTGAAGTGGGGAGGGGGAGAGGGGGAGGGGGGAATTGCTTCCCACTAGGGCAGAGCACCCGTGTAAAGTTCGGGAAAGGTGGGGGTTGTGGGGGAAGAGTTGCCTGCTGCCCGGAGCAACTCAATTCGGGCTATGCTCATATCTAGAGCACAGCACCAGCATAAAGGATAGGAAAAGTGACGCACTGGATGACAAGTAAGAAGATATCACGCATATCATGGCTGTGTGCATGCATCACGTAGATATCAACATTTTTTCACTTCCCAACTCTGCGTTTCATGCATGAGTTGATTTGGCTGGTCCAAGTGGTTTTTCACCTGGCGTAATGGATTCCTTCTTCAGTAGTCGCTCCATTGAGCCCTATTTATCTCATTTTTCATCTCAACCTTGTTGAAACCTTCCTACTGTTACTAGCGCACAGCACTTGTGTCACTGTAAGAGGAGGAGGGCAGGGGCGAGTTGCTTGCTACTAGGGCACAACACCAGTGTAACGGTGAGAGAAAGATGATTCAGCAAGTGACTTGTGGAAAGAAAGCGTAATCAGCTGCTACTGAGCTGAATTCAAAGCATAAGGAATTTCCGTCTCTCATTGTTTTGAGCATGCCTCACTCTCTGTATATACACATATCGTTTCTTCCCTCATGTGCCCACTCCCTCACATATTGGATTTTGCTTGACTTATGTTCCTGCTCAGTTGGGTTTCACATTAGGACAATCTTTCCCTTCATAACTCGTTCTTGCATGTATGAGTCGATTCAAGTGGTTTAGATGGTGTTTGGTGTGATGAATTCAGCCTTCTCCCAATGCTCTCTTAACCTCCTTGAAACTGCCCTTGAACCTCATTCAAACCCTTTAAAACCCTAGCAACCTCCCTCACAACTTGCTTTTCAACCTCCTTGCCTTCTCCCCACCTCCCTCCGATACATGGTTGTCCCATCCTGTCAGACGATCGCAACGAGCACAGCTTGAATGCAATCAAGGCGAATGTGGCCGACCGGCGATCACACCACGCCCATCAACACATGAGGTCCGCAGGTGAGACAAGTTGTGAGATGTTTCCAAACAGGGGATAGGCAGTGGGTGTGGATGGGAAATGGGTGAGGCTGGGCGATGGGTGAGGTTGGGCAATGGGCGAGGTTGTACGTGGGTGAGGTTTGGCAATGGGTCAGCCTGGTCAGGCTGGGCAAGTGGTGAGGTTTGGCAATGGGTGAGGTTCGGCAGTGGTTGAGGTTGGGCGAAGGTTTAGGTAAGGTAATGGATGTGGTTGGGCAATGGGTGAGGTTGAGCCATGTGTGAGGCTGCAGAATGGGCGAGGTTGGCGGTGAGATTGGGGAAGAGGTGAGGTTGGGAAATAAGTGATGCTGGGAAAGGGGTGATGTTGGGAAATGGATGATGTTGGGAAATGGATGATGTTGGGAAATGGATGATGTTGGAAAATGGGTGATGGTTGGGAAATGGGTGATGGATGGGCGATGGGTGATTTCGGGAATGCGATGAGGTTAGGGAATGGGTGAGATCGGCCAACGTCTTGGGTTGGGCAATGGTGATGCTGGCTCGATGGGGTTGGATTGGCAGGTGGGAGGATGGGGCATGGAAATGGCATGCACATGGGCAAGCACGTGAGCATGGGCATGGGCATGGGCATGCGGATGGGCATGGGAATGGGCATTGGCATGTGTATGGGAATGCACATGGGCATGGCATGGGAATGGCCATGTGAAAAGCATGGGAATGGGCATGGACAGGAGAATGGGCGTGGCTATAAGCACTGGTGGTACTTCAGTTGTAGAGTCTAGTCACAAGGCATACATAGAGACATTGCTATGCGAGAGACTGAGTGGACTCTGAAGGCATTCATAAGCCACTGCTCTGCCATACATTTCATGCTACAACATGTCACTTCACCTTTGCCTCTAACTCTCGCCGCTCCCCTCATTCGCAGATTCACTTTCCCCTTCCATTCTGCCGTCTCCCCTTATCCCTCATCATGCTTCCATCCCATACTACAGGTATACTAGGACCATGAGGCATCACCAGGGCATCCACAGCAACTGGATGAAAATCACTGTATACCTTCCCTCCCCTACCCCCTCTCTCCCCTTTTTTTCTCCTGAAATCCTCTGTGTGTGTGTGCTAAGTCATTGTTGCCTGCCCACCTTCCACTCATTAACTTCCCCTCCAACAGGGTGACAACATGCCTGCTGCTGTTCCTCGCATCAACTTACTGAGACTAGCTTATATGCGGGTCATGAGACACGGTCAGCCAACCAAAGCAGGCGGTCGTGAATGGGTTAGGCGTTAGTCAGTCAGGAGTAGGCAGGTACAGAACGGCGTAACAAAAGACCATTCCACGTTACAAGCTGTGTTCTGAATATCGTTGAATGTGTTCAAGTCCTCTAGATTCACATTGGATCGCACAGGTACTTGAATATATCAAGGAGAGAAACCGATAATAACAAACTTAACTCAATGTTCCTTTTAACACTGTATCCTATACTGCACCCGCCATTGTGAAGGAAAGTGGTTGCTGCTACCATGTGCCTTCCATTCGCGCTGACTGACGCGTTGGATCCCGTCGCATATTTTCAACTATCGGCTGGTATGGTATCTACATTTCGAACCTCAAGAATTGGTCTGGCCAGTTCCAAACTTCCGCAACTACCCAATCAGGCATCGCGTGGCGAGTTTCCCAGGCAAACCCAAGCATAGTCCAGAGCGGCTTTGACTCGCGTCTACCTCCCAAACCAGACCCCTCGTGTTGACTATCCTGTAAAAAGCCATTGACTCTCCCACCATTTCACTCACCAACAGCTTCCATTTTATTCTCCACTTTCTTCACCCAAGCTTACTTTCCTAGTCAGTGCAACCCGTACACCAGGAAAACTTTCGCCACTTAGTCCATCGCAGCTCGATACAGATCCAGCCATGGCGGCAGTCAGAGCGCTCGTCCTCGCGTGCGTGCTCCTCCTCGTGTCGACGTCCGCCTTGGCGCAGCGTGGTCCGCCTGGCGGAGGTCCTCCCGGCGGTCAGCGCGGAGGCCCTGGCGCCGGTTCCGGCGGACCCGGCGGTCCCGGGGGTCCAGACGGAAAGCCGCCGCACGGTCCTCCGTTGAACCTGACGGCCGTCGGGAATCTGACGGCCGATATCGGCGCGCGACTCGCCAACTGCACCATGGATCAGAAGACCCTTAACGGCAGCTTCCACATCGCCGTCTTCAAGAACGCCACCGGCAATTACAATCTGCTGGTCGAGGCGCTGCTGGTGGACACGGCAGGCGGTCCACCCGACTCGATCGCAATCGTGAAGGGCGCCGTGTGCGACTCCGCCGCGACGGACGTGCTCGCGCTGCCGCTCGCCGCGGCGGACTGGCAGCAGCGCGCGGGGTGGTGGCTGCTGCACGCGGAGGCGCGCCTCGACGCGTTCCTCGAGAACGCGGATGCCGCCACCCTCGACGCGCTGCTCGCCGTGCTCCCCACCGCCTCGCCTCCGCCCATCAGCGGCGGCGGTCGCAACGGCGGGGGTAGCAGTGCCGGCGGAGGCAGCGCGGGGGGCGCGCGGAACGGGCAGGGCGGGAGGCGCATGGGGCGGGAGCTGCTGATGCACGCATTCGGGCTCGCTGCCAGGCAGGGGGGGCAGAAGCAGGGGGGGCAGCAGCAGGGGGGGCAGCAGCAGGGGGGGCAGAAGCAGCAGGGGGGAGCGCAGCAGGCGCCTGTAGTGAGCGGGTATGCTGTGCTGGCGGGCAGCAGCGCAGCAGGTGTGACGTGGGGCGGACAGCTCATGGGCGCCAAGATGCTCGCCGCTGCTGCTTGATGCTCTGGTGCCCTGCGGTTGGAGCTGTTTGAACTCATCCTGATACAGGCTTTCATTGCTGCTGCTTGAGAAATAGCTGCCTTGGGGATGGCTGTGGCGTCGGCTTGGTACTTTGCATGGTGAACACCTGCAGGGTGTGATGGGCTTCAGGGCTTTTCATCATCTGGACTGGATAGCTTTGCTTAGACTCTCGAGGAGTAGAGTAATTACCGTAGGTCAAAGCATCAGGGGCAGGAATGCTGGCAAGGCATCAGGGAACACCAGCTGACTTGCCAGACTTCCTACCCTTGATAGTTATTGAGAGGTTATTTGTTGTAATTGATGTTATTTGTGTGCTTGTAGAGTCACTTCAGCGTTTGTATTCTGACGTGTTTTAGGAAGCCCATACTTCACATGAAGTGCGGAAAAACGGCGCATTCAAACGAAGTTTTGTGAACTTACCTCCAAATAACGAACAAGAAGAAAAACACTCATGACTATCTATAAGCAAATTAGGGTGGGATTTGGTGCTTCTGTACCGCATTTGGCCGCTGTGACAGGACGCTTTTAGGTCGCGTCGCGGCTCGGGGCCTCACTTCAGATGCGCCGTTTTTCCGCACCCGAGCTTTCCGTTGTCGTCTTACTTGCCGTCAGCTTCAGGCCTCGTTCAGAAGGCATGCAGCATTCACGGGATAGAACCTAGTGCTCTGGTCGTCATTAGCAATCCGATAGTAGGTGTACTAGGTCTCTATTCTGCGATTCCAGCAATGGCGATTATAAGTTTGTAGGTACCGCCAGATTCGTGTACTTGACCCCGGCCCTCCATGGCTTACTAATTTATTATATCAGCGTATATCGGGGACATATCATTGTGAAATAAGTTCTGCAGCTTATGGTGCCAGTGTGATTCAAGCGGAGAGTGCGAATGCCGCGGGTGGGGGAAGCGGAAATGAATGAGGAGGGGGAGCGGTTATTGGCGGAGAGATGGCGGGCGGCGGAGAGTTCTGCGCGAAAGACTGGCGGACGAATTGGGGGAGGAGACGTATGCAGCGGCGACGAGGCAGTATCGCGGATGTACAATGGTGACTCGACGGGCAGAGAGACGGATCCCCTTTTGGAGAGAGGAGCCTATAAAGGGACGGGCAATAACGAGTACGGGGGGCAGGACGTTGTAACAGGGGGAAGAAGCATTGCGCGGATAAGGGAGGGGATTCCGCCAGCTGCAGGCGCAGAGAAGGGCGTGCCACGTGGCGTGGTGATATTGGTCGTCGTGTTCCTGGACCTGTTTGCAGTGGGCATGGCCATGCCGCTCGTCACGCCGCTAATCAAGGAGCTAGGTAAGTTAAATGCTTTAATTTCAAGGGTTCCTCTGCTGGCATAATCTATTCATTAGCCCCTCGAATACGTCGAGAATTGAGGAAAGCTGAGGTTGCTGCTCCTTCCCCCTTCCCCTTTTCCCTTGCCCCGCCCCCACTTACCCCTGAACCTGCGCCCCTTCCCCGGTACCATGTGTGCCTGCCTCTGAACCGTCTGTTCGCGTTAGGAGCGTCCCCTTTACAGGTCGGCTTTCTCTCGTCCACATACGGCGCTGTGCAACTCGTTACCGGTCCATTCTTTGTAAGCAACCCTCACTTTCTCGTTTATGCGCATTTCTCACCCTCAATTGTAAGCCTGTGCCAACATCTCGTGTTGGGCTGGTCTCATTACAAGTGGCTTTGTTGCAGCTGGCTGGACCTATGATGCCTAGACATATTCTGAGTTGACTGTGCAGCTGGCTGGCTGGCTGGACCTATGATGCCTAGACATATTCTGCCCAGTTCTCAGAACATGCCTAGTGCCCTCTTCTCTCTCCCCTCCGCGGTTGTGACTGCCTGCCGGTGGTGCTTCCAGCTGTCGCTTGACCTCAAAACTATATTTTTGCCTTCTTTTCCTCGCTCCCTCTCTCTCCTGACCTCTCCGCGTGTCCCCTCAGGGCTTGCTGAGTGACAGCATGGGCAGGCGGGATGTGATTCTGGTGTCATATGCTGGCGCAGAGGCCAGCTACTTACTTTCGACTACACCTGTTGCCCTCTTCCCCTGCTCCCTCTCCGCGTGTGCCCTCCGGCTTGCTGAGTGACAGCATGGGCAGGCGGGTTGTGACTCTGGTGTCGTATGCTGGCGCAGGGGCCAGCTACTTGCTTCTAACACAACAACTTTTGCCCCTCTTTCCCCGCTCTCCGCGTGTGCCCTCAGGGTCTGCTGAGTGACAGCATGGGCAGGCGGGTTGTGACTCTGGTGTCGTATGCTGGCGCAGGGGCCAGCTACCTGCTGCTGGGGCAGAGCAGCACCGTCACGGTGAGTGACGAGGAGAAGGGGGGGGGCGGGGGATTGAGGGAGGGGATGAGGCCGAGCTATTTGCTGCTGGGGCAGAGCAGCACTTTACCGGTGAGAGAAACGTGCCTCACTTCCACTGCACGTGTGACATCTCTTTCCTTACATGTCCCCTTGCAAGTGAAAATCTGCTAGGCTCGTTTTCTTTCATGTACACTCAATCAGTTCTACTTCAAGGCTCTTTTCAGTGTCGAATTTCCGCCCTTTTGAACCGCCTTTGCAGCCCCACCTCCTGTGAATACCCCTTCAAACCTACCTTACTCCGAAGCTTCCTCTTTGATCTCCCTCCTGATCCATTCAGATGGTGGTGATCTCTCGTGTGCTACTGGGCATCACCAAGCACAGCATGAATGCAGTCAAGGCGTATGTGGCGGATCACACCACAGCCACCAACAGAGCCGTGGAGCTCGGCAGGTGAGACGCAGGTGGGGCTTGGAGCTGGGCGGGTGGGGCGATGTTTGGTTGGGTGATGGCAGGTGAGGCGCGTGGCACAGCATGAATGCAGTCAAGGCGTATGTGGCGGATCACACCACAGCCAGTAACAGAGCCGTGGAGCTGGGCAGGTGAGGCCATGCCATCCATTCCCTTCCCTTGAGAAGTCAGTCAAGCACCACACATTGAGCACCAAGCACATTATGAATGCAGGGAAGGCATATGTGGCCGGTCACACCACAGCCACCAACAGAGCCGTAGAGCTGGGCAGGTGAGCGGCCTGCTTGCTTGGGTCATGCTGTGCCGTACCATCCCATGCCATGCCATGCCATGCCACGCCATGCCATCTCCTCCTGCCATCTCATGGGCAGGGGCACAGCATGGCCCCTGCATCCAGGCATGGGGCAGGGGCAGGGACAGAAGCAGGGACAGAGGCAGGGACAAGGGGATGAGCAGGGGCATGGGCAAGGGCAGGGGCATGGGCAAGGGCAGGGGCATGGGTGGGGGCATTCACGCAGCTGCTGCCTCTCCACCACCCCTGCTATCTTCCCCCCTTTCGCTCAATCCTTTCTGCATCGCCACCATTGCTGCCTCGCCACCATTGCTGCCTCGCCACCATTGCTACCTTGCCACCATTGCTGCCTCGCCACCATTGCTGCCTCGCCACCATTGCTGCCTCGCCACCATTGCAGCCTCGCCACCATTGCTGCCTCGCCACCATTGCTGCCTCGCCACCATTGCAGCCTCGCCACCATTGCTGCCTCGCCACCATTGCTGCCTCGCCACCATTGCTGCCTCGCCACCATTGCTGCCTCGCCACCATTGCTGCCTCGCCACCATTGCTGCCTCGCCACCATTGCTGCCTCGCCACCATTGCTGCCTCGCCACCATTGCAGCCTCGCCACCATTGCTGCCTCGCCACCATTGCAGCCTCGCCACCATTGCTGCCTCGCCACCATTGCTGCCTCGCCACCATTGCTGCCTCGCCACCATTGCAGCCTCGCCACCATTGCTGCCTCGCCACCATTGCTGCCTCGCCACCATTGCAGCCTCGCCACCATTGCTGCCTCGCCACCATTGCTGCCTCGCCACCTTGCAGCCTCGCCACCATTGCTGCCTCGCCACCGTTGCTGCCTCGCCACCATTGCTGCCTCGCCACCATTGCTGCCTCGCCACCATTGCTGCCTCGCCACCATTGCTGCCTCGCCACCATTGCAGCCTCGCCACCATTGCTGCCTCGCCACCATTGCTGCCTCGCCACCATTGCAGCCTCGCCACCATTGCTGCCTCGCCACCATTGCTGCCTCGCCACCTTGCAGCCTCGCCACCATTGCTGCCTCGCCACCGTTGCTGCCTCGCCACCATTGCTGCCTCGCCACCATTGCTGCCTCGCCACCATTGCTGCCTCGCCACCATTGCTGCCTCGCCACCATTGCAGCCTCGCCACCATTGCTGCCTCGCCACCATTGCTGCCTCGCCACCATTGCTGCCTCGCCACCATTGCAGCCTCGCCACCATTGCTGCCTCGCCACCATTGCTGCCTCGCCACCATTGCTGCCTCGCCACCATTGCTGCCTCGCCACCATTGCTGCCTCGCCACCATTGCTGCCTCGCCACCATTGCTGCCTCGCCACCATTGCTGCCTCGCCACCATTGCTGCCTCGCCACCATTGCAGCCTTGCCACCATTGCTGCCTCGCCACCATTGCAGCCTCGCCACCATTGCTGCCTCGCCACCATTGCTGCCTCGCCACCATTGCTGCCTCGCCACCATTGCAGCCTCGCCACCATTGCTGCCTCGCCACCATTGCTGCCTCGCCACCATTGCAGCCTCGCCACCATTGCTGCCTCGCCACCATTGCTGCCTCGCCACCATTGCTGCCTCGCCACCATTGCTGCCTCGCCACCATTGCAGCCTCGCCACCATTGCTGCCTCGACACCATTGTTGCCTCGCCACCATTGCTGCCTCGCCACCATTGCTGCCTCGCCACCATTGCTGCCTCGCCACCATTGCTGCCTCGCCACCATTGCTGCCTCGCCACCATTGCAGCCTCGCCACCATTGCTGCCTCGCCACCATTGCAGCCTCGCCACCATTGCTGCCTCGCCACCATTGCTGCCTCGCCACCATTGCTGCCTCGCCACCATTGCAGCCTCGCCACCATTGCTGCCTCGCCACCATTGCTGCCTCGCCACCATTGCAGCCTCGCCACCATTGCTGCCTCGCCACCATTGCTGCCTCTCCACCATTGCAGCCTCGCCACCATTGCTGCCTCGCCACCATTGCTGCCTCGCCACCATTGCTGCCTCGCCACCATTGCTGCCTCGCCACCATTGCTGCCTCGCCACCATTGCTGCCTCGCCACCATTGCAGCCTCGCCACCATTGCTGCCTCGCCACCATTGCTGCCTCGCCACCATTGCTGCCTCGCCACCATTGCAGCCTCACCACCATTGCTGCCTCGCCACCATTGCAGCCTCGCCACCATTGCTGCCTCGCCACCATTGCTGCCTCGCCACCATTGCTGCCTCGCCACCATTGCTGCCTCGCCACCATTGCTGCCTCGCCACCATTGCTGCCTCGCCACTATTGCAGCCTCGCCACCATTGCTGCCTCGCCACCATTGCTGCCTCGCCACCATTGCAGCCTCGCCACCATTGCTGCCTCGCCACCATTGCTGCCTCGCCACCATTGCTGCCTCGCCACCATTGCTGCCTCGCCACCATTGCTGCCTCGCCACCATTGCTGCCTCGCCACCATTGCTGCCTCGCCACCATTGCTGCCTCGCCACCATTGCAGCCTCGCCACCATTGCTGCCTCGCCACCATTGCTGCCTCGCCACCATTGCTGCCTCGCCACCATTGCAGGCTCACCACCATTGCTGCCTCGCCACCATTGCTGCCTCGCCACCATTGCTGCCTCGCCACCATTGCTGCCTCACCACCATTGCTGCCTCGCCACCATTGCTGCCTCGCCACCATTGCTGCCTCGCCACCATTGCTGCCTCGCCACCATTGCAGCCTCGCCACCATTGCTGCCTCGCCACCATTGCTGCCTCGCCATCATTGCAGCCTCGCCACCATTGCTTCCTCGCCACCATTGCAGCCTCGCCACCGTTGCTGCCTTGCCACCATTGCTGCCTCGCCACCCTTGCTGCCTCGCCACCATTGCTGCCTCGCCACCATTGCTGCCTCGCCACCGTTCTCTCATTCCACTCCTTCATAACAGGATGGCAACAGCATCAACTTTGGGCATCATGGCCAGCACTGCTGTTGTGCCTCCCCCTTCTGGTGCAACTGCTCATGCCTGCCTGCCTCCCCACATTCCAATTCACTCCACCATAACAGGATGGCAACAGCATGAGCTTTGGGCATCATGGCCAGCAGGAATGAGCACTGCTGTTGTGCCTCCCCCTTCTTGTGCAAGTGCTCATTCCCGCATGCCTCTCCACATTCCAAATCGCTCCCACAGGATGGCAACAGCATCGGCTCTGGGCATCATGGTCGGCCCTGCAGTGGGTGGCATGCTATTTAAAGTAGGTCTTGCTAAAATAAGCCGTTGCTCAATGTTCATGACAACCCTTTCCTGTGCTTTTCGAGATGACTTGTGAGTTGACTCAAAATTCACCTTCAACAATGGGGTGGGCTTTCAGAGAGATCATAACTCAGGGGGCAAGTAATAGCATGGGCTGCTCCCTCGAGTTTTGAGACGTCTCAAAAACGTAGAGGGAGCATGGCTTGCCTGCTGCCCCTCTGTATCACTTATCATTGTCTGCTTTTGCAATTCCCATGCATCCTCTTCAATTTCCTCAACTCTTTTCCGAAGGACACCAGTGAGTAACTTGAGGGGGAATGAACGAAACATAAGGCCTCTTCTCTCTTTCTGCTTCTTTTTTTGCCTCTTCCTCTCCCATCCCTTTCCCCCCTTTCCTTCTCCCTCCCGCCTTCGCCTTTCTCCCACCCTCAACCCTCCCCTTCCTCGCATCTTCTTGCTCCTCCCACCCAGGCAGGCAGTTATCCCCTCCCAACAGCAGCAGCAGCGCTTCTCTACGCTATAAACTCCTTCATTACTGTCACACAGCTGGAATCACAGCATAAACCCTCTACCGAAATTACACCACATACCCATAAGAGAACACGGGTTCTCTCACTGCAAGGTCTCCTTCCCAATGTAAGACACTCTTTCTGAGTGGACTCAATAATGGACTTTCTTTTCCCCCAATTTTTTTCTCCCATTTCTTGCCTCCTGTTTCTCTCCTACCCTTCCTCCCCTCCCCTATTCTCCTCGCATTGCCCTCCTCCCTTTACTATCCTTCTCTTCTCTTCTCATTGCTCTCCTCCCTTCACTATCCTTCTCTTCTCCAACACAACAAGCATCCTCTTCTGGCTGTTCTCGTTAGCTGTGCTCTCTCTTGAGGTGCCTCAAAACAAGAGACTACTTTTGCACCTCATGGAATGAAACCCGCACTCCTTGAATCGAAACTCGGCACGTCAAGCAATGCGTAGAGAGGTTACCCCGGTTTTTTTTTTTTTTTTTTTTTTTCCTAAGCTAGGACCCTCATCGTCCCTCCCAGTTCCTTCCATTGTCCCTCCCATCCTCCCCCATTTCTCCTCTCAGGTGGCCATACTGACTCGACCCCGAGTGGCAGCACTGATGGCGGTGCGGGCAGTGCTGGGGCTGGCGGTGCACCTCTTCCGGCAGGGCTTCTCGCTGCTCCTCATCTACCGCCTCAACCTCCCCGTGCACACCAATGGACTGCTGCTCTCGCTGCAGGTAGGGGTTGTGGGTGATGGTGAGTGGTGGTGAGTGGTGATAAGTGGTGGTGAGTGGCGAATGGTGGCCCTGATATGGGGCTGGGGCTGGCAGTGCACCTTTTTCGTCAGGGCTTCTCGCTGCTCCTCATCTACCACCTCAACCTCCCCGTGCACACCAACAGACTGCTGCTCTCGCTGCAGGTGAGCGGTGGTGTGCGCTGGTCAGTGGTGGTGAGCGGTGGTGAGTGGTGATGAGTGGCAAATCAGGTTCCTCTGTGGGGCTGGCGGTGCACCTTTTTCGTCAGGGTTTCTCGCTGCTCCTCATCTACCGCCTCAACCTGCCAGTCCACACCAACGGGCTGCTGCTTTCATTGCAGGTGAGCAGTGGTGAGTGGTGATGAGTGGTGGTGAGTGGTGATGAGTGGTGGTGAGTGGCCAGCGGTGGTTCCTGGCGGTGCATGTGTTCCGCCAGGGTTTCTCGCTGCTCCTCATCTACCGCCTTATCCTCCCCATGCACACCAACGGATTGCTGCTTTCATTGCAGGTGAGCGGCGGTGAGCGGCGGTGAGTTGTGGTGAGTGGTGAAATTGGGGTGTGTGGCTAATGGTTGGTTTTTTGTACCCACTTCTGGTCCCTCTTCTTCACATCCCATATCACTTCATCATGTCCCCCTCTTTTCACATGTTCCTCTCTCAGCACCTCTGCACATCGCTGGTACACGGCCTGGCCATCCGCCCCTTGCTGCACCACACATAAGGCAACTTAATCCCCACTATACACATGTCATGTCACATGTCCCTCTCTCAGCACCTCTGCACATCGCTGGTACATGGCCTGGCCATCCGTCCCTTGCTGCACCACACATAAGGCAACTTAATCCCCACTATACACATGTCATGTCACATGTCCCTCTCTCAGCACCTCTGCACATCGCTGGTACATGGCCTGGCCATCCGCCCCTTGCTGCAACGCCTCCATTGTGCCTTCATCCACCCAAGTTCATCCCCCCCTTCTTCTCCTCACCATCCCCACCTCTCACCCTATTCCCCTCCCTCAGGGTCTCCTCACATCGCTGGTACAGGGCCTCGCCATGCGCCCCTTGCTGCACTGATGTCCAAAGCCCCTCATGTGAGCCGTCAAATCCGGTTCCATGTCCCTCTCTTCCTATCCCCACCTCTCAGGGTCTCCTCACATCGCTGGTACAGGGCCTCGCCATGCGCCCCTTGCTGCACTGATGTCCAAAGCCCCTCATGTGAGCCGTCAAATCCGGTTCCATGTCCCTCTCTTCCTATCCCCACCTCTCAGGGTCTCCTCACATCGCTGGTACAGGGCCTCGCCATGCGCCCCTTGCTGCACTGATGTCCAAAGCCCCTCATGTGAGCCGTCGAATCCGGTTCCATGTCCCTCTCTTCCTATCCCCACCTCTCAGGGTCTCCTCACATCGCTGGTACAGGGCCTCGCCATGCGCCCCTTGCTGCACTGATGTCCAAAGCCCCTCATGTGAGCCGTCAAATCCGGTTCCATGTCCCTCTCTTCCTATCCCCACCTCTCAGGGTCTCCTCACATCGCTGGTACAGGGCCTCGCCATGCGCCCCTTGCTGCACTGATGTCCAAAGCCCCTCATGTGAGCCGTCAAATCCGGTTCCATGTCCCTCTCTTCCTATCCCCACCTCTCAGGGTCTCCTCACATCGCTCGTACAGGGCCTCGCCATCCGCCCCTTACTGCATCGCTTCCCGGAAGCGCCTCTCATCTTCCGCGGCCTGCTGCTGCTCTCCCTCACCCTCGCTCTGCTCGCTGCTGCCCCCAGCCTTGTAAGCCGTTCCCCCATGTGCCATGTTGTCTGCCCCCGCCCCATCTTCTGTCAACCTTCCCTCACCCTCGCCCTCTTTGCTGCTGCTCCCAGCCTTGTAAGGACCTCTTGTCCCAGCCTCGTAGCATTCCTCCCTGTCAGGGCCTACTTTTGGATTCTAGGTACTCTGATTTCCAGAGTAGATTTTTTCCCAACTCTGAAATCTAGGGTTGTTCATGCGCCTTACTCTGATTTGTCAGAGTAACCCTACACTTAAAAAATTAAACCTAGGCACGTCAGAGTAATATTTTTCTCTACTCTGGTGCTGGTTAAGTTTGCTGTATGAAAGTTTTTGTTACGCCTTTTGTGCTTGCACTATGTTTCATTTCCGCGTCGCCCACGTTTCCCCCCTCAGTGCGTTGTTTCCAAGTGAGGTGTTGGCACCGATAATCTGACTCAAGGAGAGGGAGGGGAGTGGCTGACATGTGCGCTGGTTGAGAAGTTGTCAAACTTTTGTAGCCAATCAACGCTCATATTGCCCCCAACACACGACCGAAATCAGGATAATAATCTCAACGATTCGGGGAAAACCCGCTAAACGTGGGGAGGGGGAGGGGGGGGAGGGGGGTGGGTGGGTTTCGGCTAGGGGGCATGTATTCCCTATACAGAGTAAATTCGGTCCCTGAAAAAAAACCCCAGAGGCCTCAGAGTAACCTACAGCATAACTCTGACAAATCAGAGAAATCTTAAGTTCCAAAAAAAAAACCCAGCGGGTACTGAGTTACTTTAAAAAATGACTCTGATTTTCAGAGAAACAGAGTAATTTACTCTGATAACGTGGGGCCTGCTCCCTGTACCATGCTCTCTGCCTCTGCCTCTCCCTCCGCCTCTTCTTCTCACTCTCCCTCACCCGTTGCTACTTCTCTCAGCCTCATGGATTGTTCCTCCTTGTACCATGCTCTCTCCATCTGCCTCTTCTGCTTTTCGCTCTGCCTCTTCTTCTGTGTCTCCATCTGCCTCTTCTTCTGTGTCTCCATCTGCCTCTTCTTCTGTGTCTCCATCTGCCTCTTCTTCTGTGTCTCCATCTGCCTCTTCTTCTGTGTCTCCATCTGCCTCTTCTTCTGTGTCTCCATCTGCCTCTTCTTCTGTGTCTCCATCTGCCTCTTCTTCTGTGTCTCCATCTGCCTCTCGTTCTGCCTCTTCCTTTAATGCATACTAATTTTCATCCTGCTGCCTCTCACTTCTTGCTCTGCAAAAGCCCCTCTTGCTTCTGTTATTCTGCCATTTTTGTGTGTGTTTCTGCGTTGTTCTTCATGCTGGAGTTGCTTCTGAGAACTCTCAATTGCCCTTTCGCTCCCGACTCCCCTGCCCTTCAGCTTTTCCTGATCCTATTGCTACCTCTGCTCGCCCTATCAACCGGTGTTCTCCGCACCACATACACAGCCCTCCTCACCACCTCTGTCGCTCAGAGTGAGGTAATCCTCCTCCCCTCGTCCCCTCTTGCTCACGTTGTGTGAGACAGGAAAGGAAACTAGGCCGGTTTAACTGTCAGGTGCTGGTCGCCATTCGAGATGTCAGGCACCGTGCGCTCTCTTCTCCACGTCTCTCTTCTCCACGTCTCTACAACCATCACTTGTTGCGAAGCCAAGCGATGTAATGTATCAATCAGGCAAGGCTCGACAGTCCACTTCTCTCTCTCTCTCTCGTGCTCGGCCCCTCATCATGTCTTTTGAGGCGCCTCAAAACTCGAGTGCTCGGCCCCTCATCATGTCTTTTGAGGCGCCTCAAAACTCGAGTGCTCGGCCCCTCATCATGTCTTTTGAGGCGCCTCAAAACTCGAGTGCTCGGCCCCTCATCATGTCTTTTGAGGCGCCTCAAAACTCGAGTGCTCGGCCCCTCATCATGTCTTTTGAGGCGCCTCAAAACTCGAGTGCTCGGCCCCTCATCATGTCTTTTGAGGCGCCTCAAAACTCGAGTGCTCGGCCCCTCATCATGTCTTTTGAGGCGCCTCAAAACTCGAGTGCTCGGCCCCTCATCATGTCTTTTGAGGCGCCTCAAAACTCGAGTGCTCGGCCCCTCATCATGTCTTTTGAGGCGCCTCAAAACTCGAGTGCTCGGCCCCTCATCATGTCTTTTGAGGCGCCTCAAAACTCGAGTGCTCGGCCCCTCATCATGTCTTTTGAGGCGCCTCAAAACTCGAGTGCTCGGCCCCTCATCATGTCTTTTGAGGCGCCTCAAACCTCGAGTGCTCGGCCCCTCATCATGTCTTTTGAGGTGCCTCAAAACTCGAGTGCTCGGCCCCTCATCATGTCTTTTGAGGCGCCTCAAAACTCGAGTGCTCGGCCCCTCATCATGTCTTTTGAGGCGCCTCAAAACTCGAGTGCTCGGCCCCTCATCATGTCTTTTGAGGCGCCTCAAAACTCGAGTGCTCGGCCCCTCATCATGTCTTTTGAGGCGCCTCAAAACTCGAGTGCTCGGCCCCTCATCATGTCCGCCTGACAAATGCACTGACCCTCTTCCACACCACACTGCATGCCATGCTCTCTTCCCCCCTCTCCCTCTTCCCTTTCCTTCCCCTGCCCCACCCAACAACCAGGTGGGTCAGCTGCTGGGCCAATCAGACGCCATCATGTCGGCCTGTCGAGTGCTCATTGGCTGATAACCAAACGGTGCATGTTGCTCGTACTCAGCATCCCTCTATCTCCTCTACACTCACTCACCTCCCTACCAGGTGGGTCAGCTGCTGGGCCTATCAGACGCCATCATGTCAGCTTGTCGGGTGCTCGGTCCCTCTGCTGCCGGCCTCCTCTCATCCCAATTCGGCTACCACGCCCCTGTCGCTGTCAGGTAGGCCCGCTAACGTGCTTCTTCGGGTGACTTTTGAGTCGACTCAAACGTCGTGTTTTGAGGCGCCTCAAAACAATACTCACAAGTCGGTCTCCTCTCATCTCAATTCGCCGGTTGCTGTCAGGTAAGCCCAATGGCATGCTGATTCACTTGACCTATTACACCCCTGCCGCTGTCCCAAAATGAAAATCACCTCCGTTGGCTCCTTGGGAGCTCTATCGCTGCTGCCACTGCTGCTCACAGTTATTCCATCTCCTTTGCTTCCCTTCCCTCCATCTCCTCCCTGCCAGTGCAATCGTTGCTGCCACTGCAGCTCTCCTCTCCTCCACCTGCTAGTGCTGCGAATTCTTTCAACCTTGCCACCTCTGTCCCTCCCCCCTTCCCTACATCTCCTCCCTGCCAGCGCTGTCATTGCAGCCACTGCAGCTCTCCTCTTCCACCTGCTAGTGCTGCGCCGCCATCAACCTGCCTCTGCTGCCACAGGAATTTTGTCCAAAGGGCATTTGGCCTGACTGCCTCAGCCACTCTTTGGCAGCGCTAGCTACTGTCGCTGCCAGCCAGTACAGTGCAGCTCTCCGCTTCACATGCAACATGCCTCTGCTGCCACAGGAATCTTGTCCAAACAACATTTGGCTTGATTGTAGGAGGTGATTTGTTATATGGTATATAGTCCTCCCTTGGTGATTCATTTGCCCTAAGTGTTGCTTGACAACTATTCAACTCATACAGTACCCTACTTCAGGTAAGGCTGTTGCAACTTGCAACAAAACGTTCTATTGCACAAGGGGAAACAGATGGTATATGCACTAATTTTGAAAATACTGTAACACACAGGGACATGAATTAACACAGATCAAAACGAATAACCTAAAAAAAAAACATTCAGCGGTAGGAAGACAGGCAAGTCAGTTGGTGTCCCCTGATGCCTTGCCAGCATTCCTGCCCCTGATGCTTTCACCTATTCGAGAGCTACTCGAGCATGAATCCGAGCAAACCCAGAGCAAGCCCGGAGCGAACCCGGAGCAAGCCTATCCAGGCACCCACATCTAAGAAGCCCTCAAGGCTCCAGCACATCAATGCAAAGGCGTGCATGACTACAGCGTGTAACAGTCTGGGTTCCATCGCCCAAAGCCAGCAGTAGGAGCACCAGCAATGGTTGTCAAACCATCTGCTGGATAAAGCAGCAGCAGCAGGACAGTGGAGCATTAAACAGCAGCGGCGGGCATCTTGGCGCCCATGAGCTGCCCGCCCCACGTCACACCTGCTGCGCTGCTGCCCGCCAGCACAGCATACCCGCTCACTACAGGCGCCTGCTGCGCTCCCCCCTGCTGCTGCTGCCCCCCCTGCTGCTGCCCCCCCTGCTTCTGTCCCCCCTGCTTCTGTCCCCCCTGCCTGGCCGCGAGGCCGAATGCGCGCGTCAGCAGCTCCCGCCCCATGCGCCTCCCGCCCTGCCCATTCCGCGCGCCCCCCGCGCTGCCGCCGTTGGCGCTGCCTCCTCCGTTGCGCCCGCCGCCGCTTCTGGTGGGCGGAGGCGAGGCGGTGGGGAGCACGGCGAGCAGCGCGTCGAGGGTGGCGGCGTCCGCGTTCTCGAGGAACGCGTCGAGGCGCGCCTCCGCGTGCAGCAGCCACCACCCCGCGCGCTGCTGCCAGTCCGCCGCGGCGAGCGGCAGCGCGAGCACGTCCGTCGCGGCGGCGTCGCACACGGCGCCCTTCACGATCGCCAGCGAGTCGGGCGGACCGCCCGCCGCGTCCACCAGCATTGCCTCGACAAGCAGATTGTAGTTTCCGGTGGAGTTCTTGAAGACGGCGAGGTGGAAGCTGCCGTTGAGGGTCTTCTGATCCACCGTGCAGTTGGCGAGCTGCGCGCCGATATCGGCCGTCAGATTCCCGACGGCGGTGAGGTTCAGCGGAGGACCGCGCGGTCCGCCAGGCCCGCCGGGACCGCCAGGCCCGCCGGGACCATCGCGACCGCCAGGACCGCCGGGACCGCCGGGTCCGCCGAAACTGGCGCCAGGGCCTCCGCGCTGACCGCCAGGAGGACCTCCGCCAGGCGGACCACGCTGTGCCAAGGCGGACGTCGACACGAGGAGGAGCACGCACGCGAGGACGAGCGCTCTGACTGCCGCCATGCCTGGATCTGAATCGAGCTGTGATCTACCAAGTGGTGAAAGTGGAAACGTGAGTGACTAGAAAGCTTGAGTGAATGGGTCGCACTGACTAGGAAGCTTGGGTGAAGAAAGTAGAGCGTGAAATGGAAGCTGTTGGTGAGTGAAATGGTTTGAATCAATGGCTACTTATAGGGTAGTCAAAACCAGGAGTAGACGCGAGTCAAAGCCGCTAAGGTCCAAGGTTGATGCTTGTCTCGCCAAGTGGAACAGCTCTAAGCTGTTAGTAGTTCTAAATGCTAAGTTTCAAGAGTCTAAATTAGCAAGGCAGATTTGGTAGCATGAATTCTGTAAATTTCAGAAAGCAAGAATGGCATACAAGGGACGAAAGACTACTGTTATACACATTCCTATGACTATAGCGCCTTGAGAAGTTCGTTCAGGCCGCCATATCACCTTTCTCTGCTGTCTCCAGCTAGGAACAGAATATGTACAAGCAATGATAGCAATCCTATGCTGGATCCTAGCTGTTTATATAGAAATATGCAAAGTACAATCCTGAGATGGTTCTAGAAGAGCACTAGCTGACTTGGTCTTCTACTTCATGATGATGGTACTTGGGTCTTGTGGTGCTGGAACGTATTTACAGCTGTATGGCATGGCTAGTTGCTCTGCTGTCGTAAAGATGCTCAGATACTCTCTTCTCTGCTGCTTTGCTGGTTGGGAATTCACGTGTGCTTTGAGAAATCCCGAAGCGCACATTTCAGGTTGGGATTTCCAACCTCGAATTTGACATTTCAGATTGGGTTTTGGCGAAAGTTACAAGTTCGCTAGTGAGCGAACTTTCCTGTGACGAGTTCGCCTTCGCCCTGTAACATTACTCCCCCCTCCAAGGGGCACCGTCCTCGGTGCACCAGCAGATGCAAAGTAGGCAGAGATAGCTCGTTGTGCATGCTCTAAGTCCTTCTCTGGAATCCAGAGATTTTCTGCATCATCATGCTCACGCCACTTAACCAGGAAATATCTGCCACTAGGTGTTGTTTGATGAGCAAGGATCTTCTCAACTTCGAACAAATCAGGGCTTGGAGTGAACATGGGAGGACGAGATGGCTGAGAAGTAGGGAGAAAACGAGCTGGAGGGTCATGATATGGGCGTAGTAGCTGGACATGGAAGACTGGATGGATGTTGATGTGAGGAGGAAGTTTCAGACGGTATGTGAGTGGAGAGAGGACCTGTGTGATTGTGAAGGGACCAATGAAGCGAGGTGCGAGCTTGCGGGTGAGGCCTTGAGTGAGTAGGGGCAGATTTGTGGTTGAGAGAAGTACTCTGTCTCCTACATGAAAGCGGATGTCACGTCGGTGCTGGTCTGCATAGTGAATCATGCGCTGCTGTGCCCTGGAGAGTGAGGTGCGTGCTGCTGCTATGGCTTTCTCTTTGTCCTTCAGAAACGCCGTTGCTGCAGTATCACGCTTGGGGCTGTGAACCAGTGAGGTAGGAGTGCGAGGGTTCTGTCCAGTAGCTAGGTAGAACGGGGTCTGTCCAGTAGCAAGGTTAACGGTGCTGTTGTAGGAGAACTCGATTTCTGGCAGGTGGGTGTCCCAATCGTTCTGGCGAGCGTTGACACATGCACGCAAGCCATCTTCCAGAGTTCGATTCATTCTCTCGGTCTGCCCATCAGACTGAGGGTGGTAGGCAGTTGAGAGGCGAATCTTGGTACCCATCCTGTTGAAAAGGGCCTGCCAGAATCTGCCAACGAAACGGGAGTCACGGTCGGAGATAAGGACAGAGGGAATACCGTGAAGACGTACTATTTCTGTGAAGAAACGTTCAGCAACGTCTTCGGCAGTGGCAGTGGTGGAAGTGGGAATGAAATGGGCCATCTTTGTGAGTTTGTCAACCACAGTGAGAATGGCGTTGTGATGGGTAGCAGTGAGAGGTAAATCAGTGATGAAATCAAGGGTGACATGGCTCCATGGTGTCTCTGGAATTTCCAGGGGATGTAGGAGGCCATAGGGAGGGGAATTGCGAGCTTTGTTGCACTGACAGGTATGGCAGCTGCGCACGTAGGAGCGGACATCACAGTAGATGTTAGGCCAGAAAAAGTTTGATGTGATTGCAGCCACTGTTTTGTCCACTCCGAAGTGTGAATTCTGATCGTGATGCTCGCGTAGGAGGAGGAGACGGAGTTTACGGTCAGAGGGGACGCAGATAGTGTGAGAATCTGCTTTGTACCAGAAGGGAGGGTCAAAGTAGTATGCTTTGTCGGAAGGGGCAGAATGGAGGTAAAAGTTATCATGACGGTATCCCTTGGAAAATTTCTTGGTGAAGTCTGGGTCCCATGTCACGCTGCCGATCACAGCAAGCTGCCGTGGTGTGAGATGAGGTTGCGTCTTCAAGTGCTGCAGAGTGCAATGGTCCGTCAAGACCGTTACCGGCTGCATGTGAACGTAGCAGCGCCACTTCTTGATAGCGTTGACTATGGCCAGCGCTTCGCGGTCATGAGTAGCGTAGTTGCACTCGGCTGGTTTCAGCTTCCGTGAGTCAAACGCGATGGGCTGAAGGCCATGTCCTTGGTCTTGACACAAGATTGCACCTGTAGCAACTTGAGATGCATCTGTCCAGATGACATAAGGAAGGGAGGGGTCGGGTAGGACTAGGGTGGGAGAAGAGGTAAGAGCATGTTTGATGGTGGTGAAGGCTTCTTCCTGTTCAGGTCCCCAATGAAAAGGCTGCTGCTTGCGAAGAAGGTTAGAGAGGGGTGAGGTGATGGCTGCAAAATGGTTGATGAATTTTCTGTAGTAGTTGGCAAGGCCAAGGAAGGCTTGAAGGTCCTTGATGGAAGTGGGCTGGTTCCAGTTTTCAATGACCTGAATCTTGGTGGGGTCCATAGCAAGCTGATTATGAGAGATGATATGACCCAGGAAAGGGATGGAGGATTTTGCGAACTCACACTTGCTCTCTTTTGCAAAAAGCCGGTGTTCGCGAAGCTTCGTGAGTACCTGGCGTAGGTGCTCAGAGTGTTCTTTCAATGACTTGCTGAAAATCAGAATGTCATCAATGAAAACAATGACAAACCGATCAAGGAAGTCACGAAAGATGTTGTGCATCAAGCACATGAAGGTGGCAGGGGCATTTGTGAGTCCAAAGGGAAGTACAAGGAATTCAAAATGCCCATACCGGGTTCGGAATGCTGTTTTCTCGATGTCTTCTTCAGCGACGCGAACCTGATGGTAACCGCTTCGAAGGTCAAGCTTGCTGAAAATTTTGGCCTCGCCGAGTTGCTCGAAGAGTTCCTCCACTCGCGGGAGCGGGTATCGGTTCTTGATGGTGAGTTTGTTGAGGGCACGGTAGTCTATACACATGCGAAGGGAGCCATCCTTCTTTTTCACAAAAAGGATGGGGGCTG